ACGGCATACTGTCTGATGTCGTATAATAGCATGTTCAATATGCTTAGTGTATACTTAAGTAGCCTGGATGAATGATTGTTGCCTAACGCCAGGGCATCAAGAGTAAAGGATGGTTATTCACAATCGCTCTATTTTCAGCCGCTTTGAACTTACCGAAGATTGTGTAAATATGTCAAAAATATAGCAAAATTTTGTGATAAACACGCGGGTACAGCTACCTTGAGGGCGTGGCGGCCACTGATGAGAGGGTGTTGAACGAAGCGAAACGGTTTTCAGCACAATACGAACCGCCTTTCCAATCGCATCCATAATGCTTGATTTAAGAGAGGTATTTTTCTACGCAAAATGCGGTTAAATAAAAAAGATATTCTTAAAAGGGGGTCTTTTCTAAATTTCTCTTCGGACGTGCAGTTTTTCGAGAACAAAAAGCCTATTTCTATGGGCGTGTGACCTTGCTTTCTACTCAAAGTAATCTGCATAAGACATGGGACCAGAACTGAATACGATGAGCTTATTACAAACTGCAGTTGACACGCGCTAAGATCCGTAATCATACGATGTTCTGCGTATATGAACATGTTTAAATTTAATTTATGTTTGCATCTGTGCTATCACGATCTGAAAACAATGGCCGTTCAGTCTAGTGTGAGCTGGAATTTCTCTAACAGAAGGTTCCGTGACCGTGTATGCGCTTATGCATCCGCAAGACATACAAGCCAGGAGCATGACAATTTAGTCATCCTCCTCGTCCTTTCGACCCATTCTTTGGGTTAAAATCATAATTAAGTTTGCAGTTTAGAGGCTTAGGTGCACGCCTAGGTGCGGGTCCAGCCGTGTCAGCCACGTAGCCCCCCCCATTACCTTTGGTCTATATGTGCACGTCTTGAAACGCCTAATAAGTTTAAACTCGACCAGAAATTGAATTTCAGTTAATGTTGACACGTTTCTCTAAACCATCAGAGGGCGTCATATAGGCGCTCAAAAAGATTGCTGCGAATGTGAATTGTGCTGCAAACATCATACCAGCATCGAACAATTGATGGTTATGATGCATAATGAATGCACACTTCAAGACCTCAAACACTTTGGAATTTAAATGTTGTGAAAACCGAATGATAAGTTTACTTTCAATGCAACATTGAGAAATGATATAAATTTAAATTAAATTAAAACAGGATGGAGAATTATCGTGCTTACTTTCTATAAAATTGTTGGTTGAGCAATTGAATGAATATCCCGCATTACCTGTGGCCTTGCCCAGTAGTCCACAAAGGCGCATGTGGCCATGCTCTAACTATACATATAACGTCTTCTTCTACGTCAAATCTAATCCCCACTGCAATGTTAACCAAATAAATCTGTAAAGCAAGGTATTTTCATGCCTTAGCGGGTGTATTTAAACTTAAAAGAGAATTGAAGATAAAATAGCAGATTGCATATATATTTGGTAGTCATTTTTGACGATGTCGTATAAAGTTGACGGCCATAAAAATGTTCAAAAGTTGGTACGCTGATGCGACTGAAACATCTAGAAATGTTGCAGCAGAATTTATCGGTAATTCATTTTTTTGTGTTTGTAAAAAATGGCCAAATATCTTTTAAACCAATAAGATTGCGGACATTATAAAATGCGAATTTCGGCATATTACCTGCGTATGAGAGATTAACTTTTTGACAGGGTTTGCAAAACGTAGAACCAGGAGATAATGCTTCAAGTGATGTTTTATCAATAGTCATAATTGTGTTGTTGTGTACGTACCGACTTGGATCTTTTAAGGAGAACTTTTATCGATTTCTCCTATCGCCGACATGTTTTACTTCAACCCGGTTACTACATAAATGTACTGGCCCAACAAGAATTTATCAAATGCACGTATGCTCGACACTTCCTCTTCTGATAAAAATATTTATCATTCTGCTCATACGGTAGAAAAGGACGTCTACTTTCAATATTATTCTCAAAGAAAGGGTGGTATTCAGCTATAAACATGTTTTTTTTATCTGTGGGATATTGTAATAGCCTGAAATGGCACTTCGTAAAACGTCATGTCTCCGCATATACCAATGTGGCTTTAAAGTTAACAAAGTAGCTCAATTCCACTGCTTAATTTTATCAGCCCCATATAATCTTCTTATAAATCGTAAAGAAATTTATGGCTTTCTGTACGCGGAAAATAAACGGCTTGTAGTTTTGAAACGTTGAATGCAAGTGTAACGTTAGGTCTAGTTCAAATTTATTCGGGAATCGGAAGAGCTTTAGAAAAGCAAATTATACCTTTCCCTCTTGTGCCAAATTGAAAGAAGATGTAATTTTCTACTGACTGAGCACAATAATGCACAACTTTACTCATGTTTTTAACTAAATATACTAAAATATATAAGGGCGTCGAAAATCAATAAAATGCATGCTAATTTAGTAGTCATCTTTTACAGAGTGCGGGTTTTAGATGCAGCCATAAAGAAGTTTGTATGAAATCCAGCATCCTGAGTTAACTTTATTAGCACATAATTATGCTGCATGATGGTTAGTTTTACAATCTTACTAAATTAATCTTTTCCAAATGAAAACGCATTTGTGAATTTCTTTCTAAATTTCATAAGTTAATCCACTTACTGCACCTTGGAAATTAGTTCAAGTTTTGTTCTTATTGTCCTTCTCTCGTTAAAAATGTGAATGCTTTGTACTTAAGGGCCGAATAGCGGTTGCCTTTATGGTAGTATAACAGACAATGCAAAAGAAATGGGTACGCATTTGAAAGCTAAATATGGGCGAAGCTCAGCTTTATGGTTAGAATCACGTTCAGGATTTGCGCTTTGCCTAAGACAACAAGAATTTATGGTTGAATTTTTACCTCTACATCTGATCACAAACAAAACTCCCACCGATTATTTTACCCAGCCCCCATACAACCTAACAGCATATTCTTTTTCAAAGTAAACTGCAAGTTTTCATCTCCGTGTAAGTAAACGAATTTGAAACAAGTAACTACGAACGAATAGGATGAATTCGTTAAGGATACTTGCGGGTGTGACACATATGACCTGACGATAAAGGCGACATGTGAGTTCCAGAAAGCGATTCAAAAGGAGACGTTGTGAGCATTAGAATAAGTGGTCCATTAATCTGAAGTTTCGAATACTCACTTAAACCCATCCTCAGACACAGTCGCAGATAAGGGCAGTGGAGACACCAGAAACGTAGTATCCACAGAAAGTGCCTTCCGGGAGATCACATGCGTACTATAATTCGTAACTGGCGCAATCACCGCTGGGGGGTCGCTAATACTGGCATGCTGACTTGTCAATTCGCGTCCAACAATCAATGGCCGCTATTTAATCACTTCTTTTAGATGTGGGCATGATAATTAGTCGGCCACTCGGCTCGATGTCTATGAAATCGTTGCTCGTCTGCGCTCCGCCCACGTTACTTATTCGCTTGCCACGAAGAGGTATCAGATCATCACATGGTAACGGGAGGTCGTTCAATTCGCTGATAGACTGCGGGCCTTAAAACCATGACTCGAGCAGATCGCGTCTCACGCGATTGTCACTTCCTGCGAGGATTTCAGCCTCAACAAAATCCAGAATATATCCGACCCTCGAGAGCCGTCGTCTTTTCTCCTCACTGCCGATGCGTGCATGGTAATTATCGTCTTGAGTAATTTTCCGATTTTTCCGACGTAGTGGCTATGTTCACATGCGGTAAACGACTTCAGACGTTTCCTGTTGTGCCAGTAGTTCGTTCGACCTGAAGACCTGGTGCCTGACGGTTGCTGCCTGCCTGCATGACACCCCAACTCTAGGTGAAGCGAAAAGGCGACTGATATCTCCCATGACGTTCTTCACGTAGGGAGGACCTTGCCAACATTTAGGAACGGTTGGATATAATCTATCGTCTCTTTCGCGTATGCACTAGCCGACAAACTTCGCGGGTGGACATTAGCTCTCAGTACACGTCGAAGAGGTCATACGTCGGCCACCTTCTCTTTCCTTTCACTTTGAAGCGTCTCAACGCGCTGGTATAGCGCCCTTACTCAAATGCGTTTTTTGACCGATCAAGCGGTTGGTTTTGAAGTATCTGCGTCCCATTTTTTGCCTTTCTGAACAGATTGGTTTTTTTACGCCACCACGATCTTTGCGACAAATGAAGACATGCAGGAAAGCCAGCTTGTTCCTCTCTTTCTTTTCCATCATAAATCCAATGTCTGGAAGACGGCATTACGAAGTTATTTGGATGTCACCACCGTAGGTATCAACGCTGATAGAAACGAACAGTCGAGTTCCTGGAAGCAGTTCAGAAGATGAAGATGCGATCACTGGAACAAGAAATGTATTGGTCTGACGTTTGGGATTGTCACTCGAATCCATCATCAGAGACATTCGGATATAAAGGCGATGGTGGCACCAGAAGTGCAGTATTTATAGCACGTGGCTGCCGCGGACCGTATGCGCACTGCAAATAACAGTTCTCTCAATCACCGCTGGGGTCGTAATTGATGCGGTGGCTTGTCGGTCCGAGTCCGAGTCGTAAGTTGCCGTGATTTCGTCATCCGTGCGGAATGCTGGTATAATGATTGCTCGGCAAATTGGCTCACTGTCACCGTGTTGATTGCTCGCCCCCCGCCCTTCCGGAATACGAAAATTCTGACCAATAAATTTCTTTTTCCAGTGATCGAATCTTAATCTTCTGAACTGCTTCCTGGAACTTGCCTGTTCTATCGGCAATCTTTTTGGGCGCTCCGATCGGCTCGACGGTGTGAAAGCTTTCCCTTTGAGGGTCGTCTACATATGCGCAGCTTCGATTTCTGCATGGGTGTCTCGACAACAATGTTCTGCCGAAGTGTGTTATATACAAACCTCCGGTCAACACAGAGCTAGCTAGACGCGCAATGCCTCATCACGGCAAACGAATGATCCGAGTGCTTCTTCAAGACTGTCACTCACGGACTCGTAAATACCGTCACAGGATTGACCGAGAGAAAGCAGGGTGCTGTGAGTTCATGGACGAGGATGGCATAGAACTGCTTCACCAAAGGCTGGCTGAACAAACCCGCGAACATAAGGCAACGCGCAAAACAGCCCTAGAGAGTAAATTTCGTAAGCTGCCTGCTTCCATGTCATCCAAGAACGACAAACAGGTGCACAACTTTTCGTCGAGGGAGCTGCCGGAGGAACGAAAGCAGGTTTTATGGAATGAGGTCTCAACCAACACAGCCGATACCAAACCTGCCAACATGATCGCAGCGGTGGAATCAATCCACAGCCGGACGGGAGCGACAAACGAAATTAAGAACCTCATTCGACACCAAGTGTCCTCTATCCTCATGGCTCATAGGCCGCGCGACGTGCTTTCCAAGGTCGAGCGCGATGAGTTTAAGGAACTCAGGGCCGACAACGACCTCGTTATCGTGCCTGCAGACAAGGGCCGTTCAACGGTGGTATTGGACAGGATAGACTATAATCAAAAAGACAAAACCTTGCTGGGGGATCGTCAGTCCTATGTCCCACGCGAATCCAACCCCATAAAAACGTTGGCACTCGAGATTAACGCGACGACTACTTGACCCCGTCGCCTGCGCGTTCCCCGGCCCCAGCAGTTTAAAACCTCTTTACTAACAGTTCCGTATTACAGGTGACTGGGGTTTGCTCACTTAAGGTCAGACTACACTAAGGTATGTGAACAAAATAGCAACCTCAAATGTGCGAATTATTCTCGCTCCAATTTCCACCACGTACTGTGTATAGACACACTTCTATGCATCCGAACAAGTTCAGAAAATAGCACATTTTCCAGATTATCGTCCTCAATATCGCGATTGTGATGTGAATTACACACGTGCTTCTATCAAGCATAGTATATCGTGAGTCGCTTTCATCCGCGCATGGTTGAATTAATTAATGTGTAGTGGACGCATGCCCATTATTAGCGGCAGTGACGGAAACGGGCGATTTGTGCACAGGAAGTTGTAATAGTTATAGCATTCAGTCGCCATGCTACTGAATACCCATGATAACAAACCGCCCCCCTCTTCATCGAGAATTATTCCCCGCTGGTGTGCTAACTTCTGAAATTTCATCACCTGTGTCGAATGCGGGGTGATGACTGCTCGGCGCTCCAAGCGGTTAATTACTTGGGCCAGACTGTAGTTGGGATGCGATTGCACTTGTCTAGTAAAGCTATTCATCACATCAGAAAATTTATAATTATATAATATTGTTTTACGGCCAAACGAATAAAACCGCGTCATAGTGGATTTCGCAATTTCCGTTTATGCATCCATTAACCTTCATTGTCGCTTACTTCCTTCTCCCCTCCCCTCCTCTCAACTTTTCTTTATTTGCATACTCCCTTTTCATGAACGGGCTAACCGTAGCCCGTAACCAAAGCTTGTCCAGCTATGATAGCAGAGAAGAGACGACAGGGTTTTAAGGGCCTGATAGGTGATTGCATTTCCATGACCCCTATCACCACGAAACTTATTTACTTCGAGTAGTCAATGAATTCGTGCGCACCCATTCGTGAGTAAATAAATACCACATCCATCTCGACAGAAACAGAAATTTTGTTCATCCGGTCATAATGGCCACGTGTGGATGGACAACTGAGAGTTATTAGCACTACTAACGGGTTTTTGGAGAAACTTTACGAATAGTTTGGTTGATAAACGTGTCCATTAATTGAAGTCTTTAATTGTCACCCGATCCAGCCTTTGAGATTTTCTTTATAGCATGCTGTAAAGACAAAAATAGATTTACTCGCGAGCTCCAGTTAATGTCAAATGGATAATTTATGCAGAAATTCATATTGATTCAACTATGAAAAAATGGGCACCTCGGTGGCATTCGAACCCACGCAGTAAGGTAAAGGCTTTAAGACAGCCAACTCTGTTACCATTTGACCTACGTAGCCCGCCCGGACGACGGGAATTTAATCACATTTTGGTCTAGTTTACCCGACCAACCTACTGCAAAGTCTGGTATCCACAAAATCTGATACAATAAGTTGACTGTCCAGGTGGGCGGGAAACTTGACATAAATGGAATCAAACTCGCGTCGTACAGCGGGAACTCGTATTTCAAGTGGTTAGAGCGTTGGCTGTACTAAGGCCTTCCCCTTATTGTGTGAGTTCGAATCCCACCGAGGTGCCGAGTTTTTCACAGTTGGGTCAATACGAATTATTCAAGATCTGCCAAGACATCTATGAATTATGCAGAAATGTTAATAGCGGCAACTAAGTGTCAATAGTATGTTTCTTACTTGGGCCATAAGTCTGCCTTCGATTAATTAAAATGTCTTAAAATGATTAGTGTTTTAACTATGCGAAGAAGATGATTAACTGCCTCGGGCAGCATCTAATCTGGATAACATTGTTTTGAAATACCGAACGCACGGCCTGAGTACGCGTTTATGATGTTTTGTTGGGTGAACTGGAATCTAGGGTCATTTTGTTGCCGGCGTTTGTCCACACATGCGAACGCTCGTGGACTTACGTTTTGATATGGCTCTAATTCGGCTTGTCTATCAGGTCGGCGCAAATTGCTTTGAGATAATGTCCTACCTTAGAATGAATCCTTGCTTTCCGGATGGTGTATAAAATCCCAAACTCCTAGGCCGACGATAAAGCACGCCGCAGTCAATCAGTGCGCATACGTATCCGGTGAATGGAAATAAAATATTACAAACTCGAAATTCTAAGGTGCGACTGGAGTCTGCACAGATCAGAATCCTGAGTGAGGTCTGTAGCACTAGGCGTTTGAATTTCAAACTTTGTCCACACCCAACAGCAAGTTTTTGATGGCGTCAGAGCAAGTCGGAACGCGTTTACTCAAACCATATTTCGTATGTCCGTTTCCAAATTATTCAGCTTATTTGGTAAGGGTAACAGAGAATGCCTCTGTTTCGATGCTCGTTTATAATTAAGTTGCCTTGACCATAATTTCTTTTGAGCTTGCGAATGTGTTCAGTTAGTCAATCCTGAACAGCCAAATGTTTAACATTCTAGAGGGAGGCTATACCCATACTCGATGCTTGGATGTATATCGATAGTGGCGAATTATGTTAGTGTGCATATTACTCGTCGTGGTCCCTTGCATTCATACTCTACGGGTATGTAGGCCTGTAAATATGTGCATAATTGTACCGTTGGTGAGTCAGTTATTGCCCACGTAATGACCAAAATCCAGTTTGACAGTATACTCCCACCTCATTCGAAAAGACAAAATGTGTGCACTCGTCCAGTTGGCACTCGGGGACGCCCACGGATTTCTTGCGCGACATATTGCAAGTGTTCACCAATAACCAACATTTCTAAATGTCAGCCGAAGTTCAGAAATGCGTTTACAGTTAAACGGGATTGTTAAATTCAACTTACATTATTAATTGACATGCAATTTAATCCCGTAATATATAAGTCAGTCCGGAATCTGATATTCAAAAGCGGTTATTTCCATGTCCTCCAACATCCGTACCTGCTAAACAGTGTCGGCATAAATAGCATGAATTTGTCCGTATGTTATCGATTCCCGCTGAAGCTTAATTGTATTTTATAGAAAGAATAATCGAAATCACTTTTTGTGTCCTCCATGTAAGTGTTTTAAATCTTAACGATATTACATTCTCTGAAGGACGGTGTACTTTTAATTATCGCACCGTTTACATTCCCGAACACCTCTAACTGTTTCCTGTATACGTTTCTTGTAAAGATAAACACGTTTTTCTATTTGTCGTCAAGATGGTATCATATATGTCTCAAAAATTTTTCCGTGACTTAGGAAAGTGTTTTCTACTTCATTAGGAATCTTCCCAAACCTATTAGCACGATGATATTTAAAAAGACATTTGGTGACTTCGAAGGTCCCCATAATTACAAATGTCCGTTTGACTGAGAGGTACACAGCATCGAGCAGGAAATTGGAAGTTGTGGTTTGGTACCATATGACTATTGAAGATGTGTGTTTTCCGTGTATACGAACGCCCGTAGAAATTATCCTTGCTAAAATTAATTGCATTGTAAAGGCGAATTTGACCGATTTAGTCCTCTTACTCTTGAGAATTCAAACTAAATTTACAGAATGTATTTTCTACTATCCATTCCCTTATCAATTTATTGGAATTTATTATTGTATTGAATGCGTGTAGAAAATGCACGTTGGTCTGTCCATTTAATAGCTAACCACATTGGTTTTTATAAGAAATAAAACTATTTTTCAGCCCAAAGGTACTTCCGCAAGCGTAAAAACCTTGAGGCTTTATATCATTTGCATTTCATCGCATTGTGGTATTTGTGAATATTCCCTACCGAGTGTACAATACCGTCCACGCCCTAAGATCAGGGCTTTAATTGTTTACTTTCCTGGGTTGGGAAGAATTGGTGCTAAGGTGAGATGCCACCTGAAAATAGTCTGTGCCGACCTAACAGACAGATAAACTTGGAGCCATGTCAAACTGTAAAGACACGCATTTTTGCATCTTGCAGCGTACGCCAGTCAACAAAAGGCTTCTGCGTGTTTTTAGTTCACCTACAAAATGTCAGGCAACCCAGACGTACAGCATCTGACCTCCATGTCACCGTCGTGTCGGCCAAATGCAACGCTGTCTTTTGCATTATATCAGTTTTTTGTGAAGTTAACCTGCTTACGATTTAAGACTATTTCTGATAATAGAGGAAATGGTTAGGGCCAAAGGAGGAAAACACAATTTCCATCTATGCATGAACAATTCATACAAACTTATTTTATGCCGTAAGTGAAGCCATTTTAGTCCGTGCTGCATTCGTCCGAGCCTGCAGGGTAGATCCTACAGGCTTATAACGGGGACAGTTGTAATAAACAAATCTCAACCTATCCACACTTTTAATAATGAAGACATTAGTGATGGCAGTTCGACTGCTGCGAACAACGACGTTCACCACCCCCTAACGATGATTGAAATGGTCACACATCCCCTCTGCGCATGACGCGAATTAAGGGGTACGGAAAATATGTTAAGACTTGAACGGGCGATGGTTTCGATCTGACATCAGTGACCGTGCCATAAGAGTAACATTTGTAAGATGCCAATCAGCCTGATTGTCGGTACAAGAGTCATTCAATCAACACTCCCATTATAGTTACCAAGAGAAGCAGTGAGGCTTCGGGTTAGATGACGATACAATTTTCGCGCTAATCCTCGCATTCTAATTATATTTGCTTAGGGCATTTTTATTATATACGCTTACAAATGGGGTCGGAGTTGTCAAAGAGTTATTTAGATACCAGTGTCAACACATGTTTCGGTTGTGGCATGACGAAATAGCCTATCGTCCAAAGTGTGGATTCTTTGACGCCCGTTGGTATATATATATATATATATATATATATATATATATAATACATGAGCAGCTCGCTAAGAGTGCAACAGGCCAGACGCAGACAGCTGTTTCACGGTCGTTACCGATCAATTGACATATATGTATACTGGCTGAGGAATCGCAGTGTTCGTTGTGCTGATATTTTGTCAATTAAATCGCAGTTGGTAGCCAGAAATGGCGAAGCGGACGGCGACCTCAACCCTAATTTGACCCAA